AAAAGCTTTGATTTCTCAGGCTGAGGTTACCATAGACACAATTATGAATTGTTGGGTTTGAATTGCCCTTTACCTTCAGGAATACAACTGGTCAAAGCTCTAAGAGTTGTTCCTTGTGTTGCACCCTCCTAATGATATCTAGCCTTTATTAAGCACTCAAAATTGGCAGCATTATTACTCCCATTTTATTTTATTTTATTTTGTTTGTTGCTAAGAAAACTGAGGCCCAGAGTACTTACACCATTTGGCCAAGGTCACAGAGGTTACATAATTCTCTCAATGTATAGCAGGTGGTAGAGCTAGGATGTGAATTCATAGGGTCATTAAGGCTTGTACATAGATGTCCTCCCAAAGCCTTATGGGCCCATACATGGGGCTTTTCAGAGTTGGCTGAATCTAGGGTGTGTGAATGTGGAATAAGGGTGATAACTGAATTAGTCTTCTGATTGGTTTAGCATAATTCTGGGTATGGATGATAGGAAGGCCTATGCTGGATGTGGGTGCCACCAACCAATAGGCTTGTAGCCTGAATGGAATAAAAGGGAAAAGGAGATTTGATGTTTGCTGTTTTCTGCCTGACCTGCCATGGACTGTTTCTTCTCTGTGATGCTCCTCTGCCATGCTGCTCTGCCTTGGAGTCAGCTGACTATGTATTGAAACCTCTACAGCCTGTGAGCTAAAATAAATCTTTTCTCCTTTAACTTGTGGATGTCAGATATTTTGTCCCAGCAACAAGAAGGTAACTAAGACAAGGTAGAAGTTCCAATAATGCAGAGTGCATTTTGTAATCTGTTCCTTAGCCCTGGCCTATTCAGTGTGTGGACAGAGGACCTGGGGGAGATGGTCAATGTGTAGACCCTAATCCAGTCCATTGGGATGGAGGCTGGACTCCTGCATTCCTAGCAAGCTTCTGGGTGGTACTAAAGCTGCAGTCCAGGACTATGTGGAGAGACTAGTTCATAGTCTGACAACGGGTATGATTTGGTTGTTCTCCAGTCTCAGCAGCAGTTGGAATTGGCCACTGTAAGGGACAGCAAGACAGCTTAATTGATACTGTGGGTAAAGCAGCTTCATACACATTTCAGCACAGGGAGGCTCACTCACACCCTTCTGGGTCTTTCCATGGCTCCCAGCATGGATAACATGTCCACAATGTCACTGTACAACAAGGAGCCATGAGCTGCCATTTGGCCAGCATCAGGAAGACCCCAAGTCTTGGGCCCACTCAGTCCTCCATGGCCAAGCCTTTTCTCTCTGAGGTTGAAATATGACTTTTCTTTCTCTTTTCCATCATTCAACTGTTCATTCAACAAGTAAGACTTTGGCTACATGCTGGGCACTGAGAAAAAGAAACACCTGTGTTCAAATCTTGCCTTCTTTATGACTAGGTTGGGTGATTTTAAGCACGTTACTTATTACTCTTGGAGTAATAATACTTTACCAGAATGAAAGAAGTTCTGGCCAACGGAATTATAATGTGAGCCATATTTGTCATTTTCATTTTTCCAGTATCCATATTTAAAAGAGGGGAGCTAGGGATGCAGCTCAGTGGTAGAACTCATGATTGGCAATCTCCCCCACCCCCCAAAAAAAGTTTTGTAATTTAAATTCAAAATAATAAAAAGAGACAAGTGCATTTAATTCTAATAATATATTTTATTTAACCAAATATATCAAAAATATTGCAATTTTAAATGTAATTAAAATAAGAATCTAACAATAAGATGTTCTGTATTCTTTTTTTCATAGTAAGTTTTTGAAATCTGGTGTGTACTGGACCAGCAGAAATAGAGGGCCTAGTATAAAGTATCTGTATCTGGCACCAACTTATCCTTCTTTGTGTAGTAGCTCTTTTTTTTTTTTTTTTTTGGTACCAGGGATTGAACTCAGGTTCTTACGCTTGTGAGGCAGACGGCGGAACCACTGAGCTAAATCCCCAGCCCTAAGTAGCTCTTATTATAAAGAGCCCACGACTGTGCCCAGTTTAAAGTAGTCAGGAAATATGAATGGTGGCAGCCACTATTATTGCTTGTGGAGAAGACACTAACTCCAGTTCACTGACTTCGAGTCCAATCTTTTAGACTTATGTTTGGAGTGCAGAAGATGTAAAGAGGACCATTTTCCACAACCTACTCCAGTAAGTTTTGTGGGAGAATAGGAGGAATGGAAGTAGGTCAAGAGGTACACAGCTCTTGGCGTTCATCAAAGGCCCAGAAATGCCAAGCTCCGAAGTCTCCTTTAATGATGGAATTAGTTATTCTTTATTTTGTAACTGCCCCCCACCATGAAGTAATGGGTCTAGGTAAGTTCACCCACAGCTTCAGTGAGGAACTTTATAAGGGCAGGATCAGGCTGACAAGACCCAAATTCACAGATCAATTTCAACACCACTAAAAGCAGAACAAGTGGACAACAGACCGTCTTGTGTAAAGCAGTAAGAAGTACATACCATCACCTACAAAAGATCTCTTGCTCCCCTCAAAATAATGTTTATATACACATATCCTGAGTCTATTCAAGTGTCTAATCAAATGGCAGCAGTGTCCCCTTTCCATGGGGAACATGTTCCAAGACCCCCATGGATACCTGAAACCCTAGATAATACCAAGCCCTATAATTTAAAGCCTTTTCTATCTCAAGTAAGGACTTATCACACACTGTGCCCATAAGCTTTGCAGTTCAGGGTATAGTTGCAAAACTAGGACAAATTTTTCTTTCTTCCTCTCAATTTCACAGATAGAGGATTTATTCTTACCATAGATCTTCAGAAGCTCAACATTCAATATTTCTTCTTTCCTTAAATCAAAAATTTTTACTTTTTTACTTAAAGGAAGCATTTTACGTCTTCTCCTTGGCCTAACCAAATTGCCAATCACTACTCTTGCACTTTGAGGCCATTAGTATATAGAATAGAATAAGAATCACTTGAACACAAACATCATGATACCACCAACAGTCTATCTGGTGTCCTGGACAACTATGATACTAAATGACTAATTGGCAGGTGGCATATACAGTATGGATACACAGGTGAGTCACATCTTGGGCATGACAGAGCTGGATGGCACGAGACTTCATCACGCTATTCAGGATGGTGAACAACTTTAAACTTATGAATTGTTTATTTCTCCAACTTTTCACTTAGTATTTTCACACTACAGTTGACCACAGGTAACTAAAACTGTGGAAATTGAAACCACAGAAAGGAGAAATTATTGTACCAATTTGGGGGAAATACTAGCAGGTAGAGGAAGGCATAAAGTACTACAACTCCATTAAATCTAGAACATAAGAAATTCTACAAGACAAACTAAGTTCTTCAACAAAAAACGGCCGGAGGGGGGGGGGTGTATGTGATGAGGAAGAGGCATGTGTGAAATGAGACTTAAGTTTTAAACAAAAGAACTATAAAGAGGCATTTTTTTAGAAATCAGAAGGAAAGGATCAGGGACTAGACAGTAGATATGACAATAATGGTTATTTTTACTACATATGAAAATGATGTCTATTAAAGATATACACCAAGGTATATGATAAAATGCCTAGGATTTGCTTTCAAATGCTCCAGGGCAGGTGGGGGGGATCAAGCAAACACATAAACCAATAAAAATGAGGAGAAAAGAACAGATGAGATGAAATAGTCAAAGCATTGGTAATTGATGAACCTGGTGACAGTTATATAATGGAGCATCAGCCTGAGAAGGCCCATCTCCTGTCATCAGTACTGGACTACATGCAGTTGTCACCTGGGAACTTGCTTATCTCGTAGGTCAAGGCCCTACTCCAGGCCCACTAAATCAGAATTTCTGAGTATAGGCCCTAAGAATGTGCATTTCAATTATCTCTGTGTGATATTGGTTTGCACTAAAGCAAGAGAACCATGAGAGCCATAGCTATTATTGAGCCCAAATCCATGGGGCACACAAGACTAACCTCTTAGCCAGGGGAGTCCCACCTAGAGGCTGTGGAAGCCAGACCTTCAGGCCTAAAGGAATGCGTTCTCTGATGGAGCGTTGCAGTCTACCCCTTTAGGGCTGTTCCACCTGGTTTTTGTCCTACATCCTCAAAGGTCTGCAAAGAAAGTGCCTTTGAACTTGTATAAGAGGCCTCTGCAGAACCAACTTGGATACCCAGCTTGGCTCCCTCCCCCGTAGGGATGACGTCTACATCTTCATTCCTCTGACCATGGCTTCCCTCTGTCATCCCCCAGCTCAGACCCCTTCCTTGCCTGTCCCAATACCATAAGCCTTCAAGGTCATGCCAAATCCACTGGGGACCATAAACTGCAGCTCCCTGCTTTCTTAACAGGCTCCTAATTCTACCTAGGGAAGTACATCCCAAAGCAAATGTCCTGGCCCTGTCATTCTGGACAACCTCACACCCAGCAAGTGTGACTGTTAATCATTATATGTCAACTTGACTAGATTAAAGAACATCTAGGAGACCAGTAAAGCACACTTTTGAACATGTCTGGGTGGGTCATGGAGCCATGGCTTCGGGCACTAATGTGGTCCCTGGCCCCCTCCTCTCTGGCACTGTTTCTGGGCTCTGCTATGAAGTGAGCCTCTTTGCTCTGCCTTTCCCTTCCGGCTGATATTTCTGCCATGGATCCAGCAGACCATGGACTGGAACCTCTGCAACCATGAGCCAAATAAGCCTCCCCTCCTTTAGGTCATGGGTGTTTGATTGCAGCCAAAGGAAGGCTGACCAAGACAGCAAGGCAAGGAACTTTCAGCCCCCTCCCTGACAGTCACGAGTACAGCAGACATGCTCTCCTCCTCCCCCACCCTCCCCCGGAGTATCTCTGCCTCCTCTCCTCACTCCTGCCAGCTCTGAACGCTTCTGGGCTACTAACTAGGATGACAGCTTCTCCAAGTATGACCTTGGGCAAAACAATGTCCCAGCTACAGAGGGATCTGGAATCCATGGAGGCATCAATTGTGTGCCTGGCCTCCACCTCTCTAATCCCTTCCCTTCCTTCTGGTATCCCCCCCACTTACCCGTCCTCGGGTCCTATTCTTCCGCTTGGGAATATCCTCTTCTAGATCTTCCTCTTCATTCCCTTCATCTACATTTTCATCATTTTCCAAAACTCTCTGGAATGACAAGAAAGTCAATAGAAGAGTTGAGAAATAAAATGCAAAGAAAAACACATCGAGGGTAATTTTGGGAGTGTTTCACTGTCACTGATGTTTTGCTTTTGTTTTATTTTGCTTTGTTTCATTTTGTTTTGTTTTGGAGTACTGGGGATTGAACCAAGGGCCTTTGGCACTGAGCTGCATCCCCAGGCTTTTTTTTTTTTTTTAAGTTTTATTGTGACACAGGCTCAAAATAAAGTCACTAAGTCACTAAATTGCCCAGGCTGGGCTTAAACTTGGCAGTTCTCCTACCTCAGCCTCCCAGAGTCCTGGGATTACAGACCTATTCCATAAATTTACTTCTATAATTCCAGCAAAACTTATTTCTCTAATTTTTGTGTTCCTAAAGGGCCACCTGAGGGTCTGGGATTTAGCTCAGTGGCACCGCGTCTGCCTTGCAAGCCCAAGGTGCTGAGTTCAATCCCCGGTACCAAAGAAAAAAAACAAAACTAAAGGGCCACCTGAGAAATATAAAAATCTGTTTCTCCTTTCTCTACCTTTCTGGAACCCCACCCTGTTTGATGAAAGCAAGTGACTTCCTGTGCCCTTGACTGGAATGTAACCCTAATGTGCTGTTCATAATAATCCATTGTTAGCCAGGCATGTGGCAAATGCCTGAAATTCCAGCATTCAAAAGGCTGAGGCAGGAGGGTCACCAGGAATTCAAGGCCAGCTTGGACTACTTCGCAAGACCCTGTCTCAAATGAAATAAAATAAAATAAAAATTCATTGTTATTTTTAAAGAAAAATAAATTTTTTTACAACCTATGGAGTTAAAAATCATGAATTCAAATAATCTCTCTGCAACAGCCCTTGGAGTCACATGGCAGGCTAGAATTCCATTTCCATTCTACAGTTGAATAAACTGAGGCTAAAAACCATTTTGACTGTTCAACACCATACCAGGAAGCCCTGACAAAGCAAGGTCAGGTTCATAATTCAGATTCACATTCATTCCTCAGCCCTCAGGACTGAATTCCAAGGTGCATCATGGCATACTCTGTATGCAGGGGCCTAAGTGCCTCACTCCCTTTAGAAGAGAGGACAGGAGGAGCTAAGGTGTGTATCTCCAGGCTTACAGGAGGGACAGGAGATTGTCGCAGAGGACCCAGCCCCCCACTGTGGAAGTAGGATAAGAGGAAAGAGGCTTGAAGCTCACTGGATTCCATGTGAGGGGCCCTGGGCCGTTCTTTATGGGCTCACTGTGTGACCTCAGACAAGCGATCACCTCTTCACGCCCCAATTATAGAATAGGAATCCATCCATTTAGTGTAAAACATTTAGCTAATGCTGACTACATAGCAGGCCCTGTGCTAGGCAAGCTACAAAATGGCTACAGTCCTGGCCCCCAAAAGACCTTACAGTTCTATACAAATAGATCTAGTTAAGGGAGGACAGATTGAAACAACATACACAACCATATAATTCCCAGTGCTATCGAAACAGTGATGACCAAGTTCCAGCAGCTACAAGAAGGTGTAAGAAGGCAATTTTACCTAATCTGAGGGTCAGGGAAGGCTTACCTGAGGCTGGGACAAACGTTGGTGAGATGTGGAGAAATGGCAGAGCAGCCCAGAGAATGGGGGCAGGTGGGAGAGAGGAACGAGTTCTAGGCAGAGAGAACAAACTCCCTGAGGCAGAGGGGACCACTGCTTGCCCAAGGAGCAGAAAGAGACAGGGGTGACCAGAGCTCAGTGGGTCAGGGAGACACAGCTGAGATAACACTGGAAAGTGGGCAGGTACCATAGCTCAGGATGACCCCAGGATCCTTGCAGTGATGGTGCGTGCACTGAATGAACATCCGATGTCACCATCGCTGTCCAAGGGACCTCCTGGACAGGACACCACCTCTGGCCTGTCTTTAAAATGGGAAGCCCAGCCAGTGATCGATCCTCTGCTACTGCCTTCCTGCCCAACTGTTGTGCCCCAGTCACAGCAGACAGGATCAGCTGGTCACACAGCCCTTCCAAAGAGTGCAAGGCAGTTCTAGTGAATTCTTCTCTGGCTTCTCTACTGGTTTTATTTGGGAATGACCCGCCAACACCACGTATGGGTGTCCAGGCCAGGCTTAGCCCTTGAACAGAGAAGCAGTTTGCTTGCTGGACACAACCTCTAACCCATAGCTAGGAAATGTTGGCCCAGGTCCACAGTAAGGCTCTTGGCTTCCTGACCTGCTGCTGGGATACTAGTAAAAGTCAGAAGAGACAATGACAGGTCAAATGCAATGTGGCCTTCAGTGACAAAAGCATGCTCTACACATAAGGTATAGTTATTAGGATTGTTGTTGCCCACCGTACAGCTATCTTACAACTTTCTGGATCTTGGAGTCATTTAATCATGGTAAGTTCCAAGAGTCTGGAATGTAAAGGTCATTGCCTCTGGCATCTCAGTACAATTCGGACTCCACTGTTGCTTTTTATGAAAAGGGTATTTATGGCCTCAGTGTGGACTCTGGGTTGGAAGGTAAAAGGCAGGCAAAAGCAGCTGGGCTGGTCCCCAAGTGCCACATGGCCTCAATGTCCAGAAGTGAACTGGCTTCTCTTCTCCCTGAGGCTTTGTCCCTCCTCTTCCCATCAGCTCCCTTGGGGCTCTAGAACCTCCAGGCCACACCCCGGCCTCAGATATGCTGGCAGCTCCCCACGTGTCTGCATTTCCTACAATGTGGCCCTGACCCCAGAAATTTCTTTATGCAACTCATCACTGGGGAGGAGCCAGGAGATGCTAACAAACAAAACTCATTCCAGGGCTCAGGAAGCAGAGGGGGAGTCCTGGGTTGGGAGTGAAGGACAGGGTTGGTCCAACATAGAATCAGCTGTTGCCCTGTGACGTACCGGCAGACCCTGCCCAAGGACATAATCTGGAAAATGAATACATTTTAAAATAACTTTTCTGTTACCCTAAATAGTCTCTACAGTGACAGTAACAGGGGTTTTGTGGTTATGTTTTTTAAAAAGATAATTCCTTTTCAAAGACTTCATTGTCTCTGGCCAGGACTACTACAAAATTCCAATGTCCTTCCCTCCACTATTGGCCCTGCATCTACTCTGCTCTTCATGCAAAGCCAGAGGGATCTTGATGAAATATAAATTCTCTGCCCTAATCAAAATCCTCCAGGCTGGGGATTTAGCTCAGTGGTTTCACCACCTGCTGCGCAAGCGCAAGGACTCGAGTTCGATCCCCGGTACCAAAAAAAAAATCCTGCAGTTGGCTTGGTTTTTCATTTTACATGAAACCAAAAGGCACTTGGATGCGATGCCGCACGGGGCCTGCCTGGGAGGCCTGGCCCCACCCACCTGGCCACTCCCACCCTGGGCTCTTCTCTTCGCACACCGTGGTCCTGCCACACCGGCCTTCAGTCTGTCCTGTCCACACAGCAAGCTCCAATCTGTCTCAGAAGCTCCCTGAACCCTGGCCCTCTGCACAAAAGCTCCTCCCCAGGATTCTCTTTTGCTGGCTCCTCTCATGCTACTGGACCAAGGCTGAAGCCTGCATCTCCTTTAGGACACTCCCTAGAACCTGTCTCCCTGTTATACTGAATCTTCATGCTGCTCGTTCTTCTCACAGCATTTGTCCAAAATTGCAGTTATTTTATTTACTTATTTTCTGTCTGTATGTCTATATGAGTGGAGGGGACAGATCTCTCTTGGTCCCCCTGTTCCCTAGCACTTAATACTTTGTCTGTTCAGAGAAGCTCCTTAAACTTTGGTCAAATGAGTAAATGAAAATGAAAGAAAATGTATATAGCCTGTGTGCTACATATTTAATAATGTAAAGCTAATAAAAACATGTAAACTCATTTGGCTTATGGTCCCGTTTCAGCTTCCATCATGGTAGGTAGGAGCTCCGTGCTCTGCACATGGGAGCCACTCAGCCTCTGTCAAGGCTGATGACACAACCACGATGACCCACATGCAGGCTGAGCCATGAAGAACTCGAAGGCCCCTCCATCTTTACATGTTGTCAGATACCAAGGCCCCTGGGCAATGTTTTTGTTTTGTCTGTTGATTCTGTCAAAATACACTAACTAAGCAAAACACACTCTCAGGTATTACATAGTGATGACAAACCCCACTTTGGACATCTGAAAATCCAAAAATGAGGGAAAAGGTACAAGTAATACATGATTGTCGGGAGCAATGCTACATAATTTTAGGGAAAAATCATTTGGTTAGCCTAGTTCTCCTGCCTGCAGCCCAGCTATGGAATTCCGAGACATAATTGCATTTTGGCCTCAGGTCACAACTGAGACCTCAATGATGCGGTGATGCTGTCTGTGATTCTCCAAGACAAGAAACATCCTGGGAGCTGAGAACATCCTGGGAGGAACAAACATCTACTCAGTTCCTCCTTGATCTTGGATTGTTACATCTTATTTACACAGGATGTACTGAACTCTCTGCAAGTCATTCGTTACATTTGTTTCTCCCGCTGTACTGAGTACTGAAGAAAAGGTGCGGTAAACTGGGGGCTTTCGTCTTTGCTGCCCAGAGCAGCACCGATCAGACCCAAAGCTCAGCTTCTTCTCAGTCTCATTTTTCTACCTTTCCTGTAATTCGCCTTGTGCTGCCGTGGCTCTCAGGAGACTAGGACTTTCTGCAGAGGTTCTAGTAACGTCCTGTTCCCAACATATGACCAGCAAAACAGAAAGAGAGAGAAGAAAGCAGTATGTGTCCTACACATCCCGGGCAAAAAGAAATCCTTCTGGCTCTATGGGGACCATGAAAGGCTCGATGGGGAAGCTGCCACTGAGGCTGAGCCCACAGGCTGAGTGGAATGTGTGTACACGGAGATGGAAGAAAAGGCAGCCAGATAAAGGGCCCAGCACAACCAAAGCACATGAAGAGCCGAGGATGAAAAGGAGTTATAGGAAAACTAGCTGAAGAGCCTGAATACTAGCTGAGGAGCTGAGAGAGGAGGCCCGGGAAGGTTATGTCCACCATTCTGGTTTACTTAGTGGAAAGTAAAAGGTTTTTAGGAAGGAAGTGACACATGCAGAGCTGTGCTTCAGGACAAAAACATAGCTAGCTAAGTAGGGCATAGAGGAACTGACTGGAGCCAGAGCAACTTATCAGAATCTGGTCTCTCATGTACGCACTTAACACATATTCCCTGTGCACCTACTAAGTGTCACATGCTGTTTGGGGCCTTGGGACATAGTAGTGACCAGACAGACAATGCCTTGTGGCCTTGGGGAGTTTATATTCAATTGGAAGAACATAATAGCATAATCAATGAAAAAATTTCAAAGTATGGATAGTGATGAGAGAGAGAGACAGAGAGAGAGAGAGAGAGAGAATGGGAAGTGTCAGGCAGAGGATGTGGTGTTAGATGCTGGGATGGGAATACACCTCCTAAAGAAGGGGGATGAGAGCAAATAGCTCAAGCAGGAGAGGGCAGAGCCCTGCAGGTGGCTGGGGAAGAACCTCCCAGGCAGGGCTGTGGGCCAGAGCAAAAGCCCAAGGCAGGGACAAGCCTCATGTGTGCTGGAGCAGCAAAGGGAGGTCCATGTGTGCCTGAAACAGAAGAAGTGAGGGACAGAGGAAGGTGCCCCGTCAGAGAGAGGTGCCTTGCTTTCAGGGCATACCACAGTGACCACTGAAGGGTTTTGAATACAAGAATAATAGGAGTCAACCTTTAAAAAGCTCCCTCTCCAGTGGCCAATTCAGACACTGGAATATTACTCCACACTAAAAAGAAATGAGCTACCAAGCCATGTAAAGACACAGAGGAATTTTCCATGCATATTCCTATGCAAAAGGAGCCAATATGAATAGGCTGTGTGATCCCACCTGGATGACATTTGGACAGTGGGAAGACCAGTCACTGCCAGGCATCAGGAGGGAGGGAGGGATGTATTGCAGAGCACTAAGGATGTTTAGGGCAGAGAAACTATTTTGCATGATCCCATAATAGTGGCTACATGTCATCACACATCGTCCAGACTCATGGGCTGTCCAACACCAAGAGTGAACCTAACATAAACCATGAACCTGGGAACACTGATGCGTCAGTGCAAGTTTATTGATTTTAATAAATACGGTGGGAGATGTTGATAATAGGGGGCTATGCATGTATAGGGGCATAAGGCATAGGGAAAATCTCAGTACTTGCCTCTCAATTTTGCTATGAATCTGAAATTACTATTTTTAAAGAATTATTTTTTAAGACTCTTTCTGAGGAAGGAACAGGGAGACCATTGAAAGTTACCCACAGCACTCAGAGAAGAGGTGACAGTGGCTTGGACCACCAGTAGCAGTGGATGTGGGGAAAGGGGGCTGTGCTCTGGATTTATGTTGATGGCAACAGGATTCCTGGTGCATGGAATGTTAGATATGAGAGAGAGACAGCAGTCAGAAATGACTGCAAGGTCTGTTAGACAAATAAAGCTTAGAGTTAATGAGGATCTCCACTAGGACTATAACTCACGGGAAGTAGAAGAGGGAAAAATGTAAGCCAGGTGGCAGCAACTAAATGGAAAAGACGACCATTCATCTTAACACAGGAATGGCAGAGGAGGAGGCCAGATTCACTGATTCATTCAAGGTCTGTATTGAGCTCCAACTCTGTGCTGATTTGAGCAAGGATTTGAGAACACAATGCTGAACGTAACAGCCTGCTCCCTGACTTGAAGGAACTTGCAGCTTGGTGGTCCTTACTAGGCAAACAAAACTGTAGTTTTATTTTTCATTTAATCATTATTTTAATAAATCACTGAATTAATTAAATATTAAATGAACATAAAATTATATACAATGTATATAACAAAATATAAAATTAAGTGTGTAATGTAAATTTAATATGATTCAATTCTATTTCACTATTAATACCATTATTTTATATTAGCATTAAATGATATTATTGCAATATTTCATGCCCACCATTGTATTTGATAATAGGGATTCAAGACCAGTAAGAACTAAGAAATGGGAGGAGCATACCATAATAATCCTGTGTCTCAGAGCTGAAGTGGTGGCATGAACAGAGCGTGGTGGGCACACAGGGACAGAAGCCACCATCCCTGCCGGGGGAGGACTAGACTGGCCTTAAAGATGAGCAAGTAGTGCTGGGAAAGGCTGAGAGGTGTAGTGAACCGGAGCAGAGGCTGGGGTGTAAGAGGCAGGGACTCACTAAGTGAAGCAGACACCCCAAGTTTCAAGCCTGGAGGATGGACTGTTCCATTCCACAGGTGCAAGGGCTCAGTCCATTTTGTTCATCATCATGTCCCCAAGACCTAGCACATAGTATCTGCCTCTCAGCAGGCTCAGTAAACATAGTTCTGAATGGAGAAGTAGGAGAATCTAGGAGAGGGACAGATTTGGGACTATAATGACTTCTTCTATGGGGTGTGGGGTGCATTAAATTGGAAAAGAATTTGTGAGCTTCCTGGTACTGGTGCTAGAAGGCCAGCTGGGACACGGCCCTGGGCCTCAGGAGGACAGCCAGAGCTGGTGGGCTGCTCTGCAGTGCCTCCAACAGGTGTGGGACTACCTGGATCTCCTGGATGCTCTCCTCCTCTCTGGTGTCCACCTTCTTCTCCACACCCTCACCTCGCAGCAAGGCTTCCAGTGTGGTGCTTTCTGAGGTGAACCCATCCTTCTTCAGGGGCAGCTCCACTTCTGAAAACAACACAGAAAGGCATGTCAGGCCACCAGAAGCGTGTGGGACAGGAAGAATGGCCCTTGTGGACATGCAGGGACCAGAGCTCCTGGGCAGGACTCCAAACAGCTTGGTGGAATAGGAACACTGGAGTGGGGGGAAGCTTTTCCATCTTCATTCTGTAATCCCATGGATAGATCCCAACCTGGAGAAAGCTGAGGCAGGGGAAAAAGGGTGCCAGGGGAATATGGGATCAGACCACTTTGAGTCTCTGGCTGTATGACTTTGGGCAAGATGCTCAAGGATTCTGAAGCCTCTCCATATACAAAGAGGGATAACAGGCCCAATGCCAGAGTTGTTTTGTGGGGTAGAAAAATGTTCATTTATATGAAAGTGTTCGGAAGACTCTCAAGCAGTATACCAACATTGCCCTCCATTGTTATTGTCTTCCCCTTTGTCTCAGCTCTTATCTGACAATGTGATGATCTCTCCTTGGCCATGCTGCCTGCCCAGCTCTGCTGTGCTCCATGAAAAGCTATGTCAGACTCCAGAGGCTGTTCTCATTGACTCATGAGAGAAGCGGAGCTCTAGAAATCCAAAGAGAAAGAAGGAGGAAGGGCAGATGTACAAGAGGCTCCAGAGCAGCAGAGTGAGAGCTGCAGTATCCACACGCCAGGGGAGAGAGAGAAGTTGGGGCTGCAGGGCATTTTTCCTGAAGACATTAGGATTTGATCAGCTACCTGAAACTTTAAGTAACTGGGTATTATAGCTTTGATGTTGAATGACCTCAAAGGGCCATGTGTTAAAAGCCTGGGCCCAGTGTGGCCCTATTGGGAGGTGGTAGAAACTTCAGGAGGTAAGCCCCAGGGGGAGATTCTTAGGTCCCTGAGGGCATGCCCTTGAAAGGGCTTGTGTAACCTCCATCTCTTCCACTTCCTCTCTTTTGCTTCCCAGCCATGAAGTGAGCAGTTTGCCCTGCCACATACCCTACATCATTGCCATCCAGCATCCCCACCAGAACCCAAAGAAATGGGTCTGCCTGGTCATGGACTGGAACCTCTAAAACCATGAGCCAAAATAAACCTTTCTCATTATAATTGTCTCAGGAATATCATTATTATGATGGAAAGCTGACTAACACACTTGGCCAACTGTAAAAATGGCAATCAGGTTCATTCATCTCTGCTTCTGAGGCAGACCAGACAGGGTACCTAAACCCCTTCCTTAAGGTGTCCACCAACTGCAAACTTACCAGAGGCCTTTTAAAAAATAAGAACAGAAACCTAAGGTATGACTATCATATTTAGATTTACTACAAAGTTTTCCTCCAACCTTTCCTCTGATCCTGGACTTTACACACACACACACACACACACACACACACACACACACTTAGATGTGTGGTTCCTACTATTATCTCAGGTAAAATGGATGCAAGAACAGGAAGCAGTGGCACTCCAGAAAACAGCCAGTGGAAACAAATGGTTTGCTGAAATAGGGAAATTGGAAATTTAGTGTAGAGACTATATACAGATGTCTGAGTAGGATAAAGAGAATGAAATGGGGATGGTGAACCACCCCAAGGGACCCATTTCTACTGCCATTCCTTCAAAGATAGAGGCAGAGTCCTTGCAAGAATCTGGAGAGAGCATCACAGCAGAGGCCCAGCTGTGGATTGCAGCACAGGAGCCCAGACACCAGGGAACCAAAAGAACCAATGTATCACCCAAGCACTCTCTCCTTCCACCCTCTACCTTCCGGCTATGCTATCTCCCATTGGTCAACCTCAACCAGAAGCCAGAGGGCAGGGAACCCCATTGATACAGCACACCAAAGTCAATTTCCTGGGGCACAGAGCAGTACGAAGGACAAGGAGTGGAGATAGAAGGGCAAATGGAAATAAGCAGCACCATCCAGCCCTGCTCCACCAGGCTTCCTTCTGGCTCCAGCAGAACTCTACCTACCTTTTCCATCTCTTCCACTTGAGACAGTACAGGCTCACTATAAGGAAGATCCCATCAAAACTGAAGAAATGAACCCAGAAAAGAAAGTGGGAAGGAGAAACGGTATCTGAAGTCTCTCAATAGACAGGTCTTTAGGATTTTTCTTATCAAAAAAAGAACAGAGGAACCACTTCCATCAAGAAGCACTACTACTAACTCTGCCATCTCTCCAACATACCCAGCCATCTATTTATATTCAACAAATATGTACTGAGCACTCACCAGGTGACAACTCCTGTGCTGAGACTGGGAACTAAGAAGGGACCAACGACAGTCTCTGTTTGGGGGCAACATATAGTCTAAAGAGACAGATATAAAAGGCTAAATACAAAATAAAGATGCAATTACAAAGTGTCATATATGCTATGGAGGAAAACAACAGAGTGCATGTGAAAAATTAAAAGTGGTGCTATTTTAGATCAAGGAGTTGGGGAAGGCTTCAGTGATGAAATTACATTTAAGTTGATAGTCAGAAAATCTTCAAGTGTCTGTTCTAATGAGTTTGGAGCGTGCAGCTGCACAGCCTGCTCTGATGACATATTGCTCTCTCTCCCAAGTCAAAAAGTCTTCCAAATGTCTAATCTCAAACAATTAAAGTGTGTTTCCTCATGTCCTGTCCTCAGTCAAAAGAGAACAGCTGGTCACCATCCTTCAAACTTATAATAATCATATATATATTTGAAGTTCATGTTTTACTATCCCTCTTACCTTTCCCAACACAATCCTGTTTCCAGAATTGTACAATAATTTAGAACTGGAAACAAATATTTTACAGCTGGAAAGGGCCTTATGGGTCACTGAATTCAATCATCTCATTTTATAATTGAGGCATCCTGGGCTCAGAGAAGTTAAATAACTTCACCAAAAGCCACACAGCAGAACAAAAATGCAGACAAATGATCTTTGAAGATGCCACTGAGATCATGGCAAGAACCCCCGTTCATTGGAATCTCATTAGTAGTTGACAATCCAAGGCTGAGCCCAACTCTTCTTTGGTTCACTTGTATACACACAGAAGACTGGCCACATGGGAAACACTTAAAACAGGATAGCTGCTATTGCTAGGTGTCATTTAATGCCCCGCCACACCCAAGAGCAGCCATTTGACAGGTGTGGACAGTGCAGTTAGGGAGATTTAGGACTTGCTTACTATCACAAGGAGCAAAGTCCAGTCAGCCTCCAGAGCCCAACCACCTAAGGACTGTAAGGACTGTAAGGACTCCTCCTGCCTCTCTTTGGCCCTCCCTTGAAAAGTCTTTTTCCAAACCTTTTGTATGTTTCCATTGTATTCCTAGACTCTCCCCATAGCTTTGAAATTTCAGGATAAAAGGCAGATCTCTACTCAACTGAGGGCAGTTTGTGTAATGCGGCTGGACTCCATGCTGTCTGAACATCCTCCTGGTGTGCTTACCTTCCCCCGACGGTATCAAATCCATACAGAACTTTCCATCTGCTGTGAATTTCCTCCTCCTCCTCCTCCTCCTGCTCCTACTCCTTCTTTTTCCCCTGCTAAATATGCTTCCATCCTGATTTCCCAAAATTCAATCTCCTCTCTTGACTATCATTAACCAGACTACCAGGTAGAAACGGTGAGAAAATCAACAGTGAAAATGGAACCAAATTAGAAAACTACAAAAGGCTGTCCCTCAGGCAAAGAGCTCAAACAGATCTCCAATGGCACCTAGAGTCTAATCCCTTCACCAGGAAAGCAAAGCACAGAAAGAGGCTTTTCCAGGATCATTTAGTGTTCTCATTCTTCCCTAACTACCAATATTTAATTTGGCTCATATAAGTTCTGCTATTAGATATCCCTGGAGTCATCCCTAGCCTTGCCATTTATTAGTAGTGGACCACAGGCTGGTTACTTAACCTAAATCTCTATTATTTCATGTGTTAAATGGAGGTGATCATAGTATCTGTTTCATGATGCTAGAGTGAGAATCAAATAAGGTAGTGCACCGCATTAAGAATCTCCTAAAGGACCCATCAAACAACTCGTGTGAGGTTTATCAGTTTTTATTTGTTTTGTTTTATGTTTTATTCAAAACTTGTATTCCAAATTAGATCATATACACAAAGAACCTGGGACATTGTAAACGCACTACAAATGCTGAATCAAGTTTGAATCATTCTGGTTTTAATTATACAGCTACACTGTCCAATAAAAACATAATGTATACCATTTATATCATTTTAAACTTTCTAACAGCCACATCTTAAGAAGTAAAAAGAGGCAGGTACCATCAATTTCAATAATATGTTTTCTTTAACCCCATATTTCCAAAACATTGCCATTTCAACATGAAGTGAATATTTAAAAATTGATGTCATTTTACCCTTTTGTAGTCACATTAAGATTTCAAAGTCTGGCTCGTACTTTACTCTTACAGTACATTTCACTTCACACTACCACATTTCAAAGGATCCATAGCCACACATGCCTAGTGCCCATCCTATTAAACAGTACAGGTTTATAGCATTAAAAGAAATGCTTACTATGATTTTCCTTTCCAAAACTGGAAGGAATTTAAATGTGGCTCTTAATGCTGCTGAGTGCTGCTCCTGGAGTGGCATTCTAGCTAACCACTGGTGAAGCCTAGTAGAAAAGCACTATGGGTAAGACTTGAAAGGTCAGAATGAAAGGGTAACCACCCCTCCCTATAGCCCACCAGAGTGTGTGTTCTCTGCCTCCCAACCACAGGAGGTCCCCAAGTAAAAGGAGAAAAGAGATAACAGATCCCAGCTCTTGCACAATATACAACCTAGACCTGCTCCTATTGAGCCCTGGGGGATTTCACTGATTCAATTTTATTCTAATATGATGCATTTGGATATAGATCTTAATAGGATTTAGTAATTCCTTAAAAGTATACTCATTTTGCACCTTACACAAATTTGGCAACCACATAACCTGACAGAAGCCATCAGACATTTAACATTAAAAGAAAATGGTCCAAAACACACACACACATAATTCATCTTTAAATTAGGCTGATTTTATACACATGGATATAAAC